TAAACCTGAGGATTTACATCCATTTAGAGGATTATTCAAGCTCTTCATTATTCCTCCAGATGATTTGTATCTTCCAGTAATTCCTGAACGAATTCATGGAAAATTGGTAAAAATTTTTTAAATTTTATATCATAATTAAAAGATTTTTCATCTTTGTCATCGCTGTGCTGTGGAAATATCTCCAGGTGTGGCAATACGTGCAAACAGTAAATATAACAGAGAAATTGGACACAAATGGTGTCCGCACACTGATGAACAACGAGGATTTGTTAGTACTACTTGCTCGGTGGAACTTGAACTTGCTTTGAAGCAGGGATATCGCGTGACTAAGGTATACAGCATTTATCATTGGGAACAGTGGTCAGACACCTTGTTGAGACCCTACGTTCAGGATATGATGCGGCTAAAAATTGAGGTAAAAATTATTTTTAGACTTAATAAAAAGAATACAGGCGAGTGGATGGCCGAGTAGTGTGTTTGTCGATGGAAATCCTGAACTAGAGGATCAGAAGAAAAAAGATTTTATTGAACGAAACCAGAGCGTGTATGGTATACATTTAGATCCAACACGGATTGAAAGAAACGAAGGAATGCGTTACCTTGCAAAAACGTGCAACAACTCAATGTGAGAATAATTTTTAACTTGCGTCATTATTTAATTTAGGTGGGGGCGATGGGCGCTTCGCTGTAACTTGTCACAGGTTTTTTCTCTTTAAATTTACAACAACAATTTTTAGGATTGTATAACGAGCTCCCCTGTGGAGCTCCACACGGTTCTTAATGATCCAAAACTTGAATTAGGAGCTGTGGAAATGTTGGCTCCTAATCTTTTTTCTGTTCCATATCGGCATCGTCGAGAATTTGTACGTCCACATGACAAATACAATATTGCAATTGCACTAATTACAACGGCAAAAGCCAGAATAATGCTCTACGACTACATGGAAAAAATAGTTAAAGAAAAAGATTGCAAGTTACTTTACACGGACACGGATAGCTGTTTTTACGTACATCGACGAGGACAAAAGCCCCCTTTTCGTGTTGGTGAGATGCTTGGTATGATGGATAGGGAGTATGGTGAATGGAACATTATTGCATTCTATACTGGAGGGTGCAAGCAGGTATTCAAGTATACTGTTGATCAAACTCAAATATTCCAGTATGCCATGAAAATGAAGCACAAAAATAGCGGCGAGATTAAATTCATTGTAAAATGCCGTGGGTGCTGGGACAAAGTTGATTCTCCTCTTGACTTTGAACAATTCAAGGTTATTTTTCAATCATTTCTAAATTTTAAGATATTTTAGAAAATGGTTGAAGCGTATGGGGAGGAACAAGAACCTGTCATTCTGGAAAGAACACATTTTCAGCCCTGCTGGCGTAGAGGGGAAGTTACAAGCAGATCACAAAAAAGGTATCATATATTTTTAAATTATTTATATCTACAAAGTTTAGACGATATGCGCCAATCTACGACAAGGGGATAGTTGATGCTAATTTTGATTGTTATCCGTATGGTTACAGAGGCGAACCACTTATTGATCCTACCGAATAAAATATTTTGAATAAATTTTAATACTATATTTTTAAAATTATTGTTTAATACAAAAAATATTTTAACATTTTGCAATTAAAATCTACTTTCAGATTTGATTACCTAATTACAGCTTTGATTATTTATTGATAGTTTATCAAAATGGCTGACACTTTAGGTAAATTAATTTTCCCATTTAAATAATATTTAACTTTAAGAACTCACCACCGTGATGGTAGAGAAATTAGCAATAAATTCCAACAGCATAAAGGCTGCACAGCTTATAAACCTTCTCTGTGACTTCAATGGAGGTTGCGTACCAGAAATGCTAATTGCGAAATACGAAATAATTACAACGAAAATTTGCAATTTATAAAATCACTAACAAGTATGACTCTTGAAGATGGTAAGAAAGCCTGAGTTGGACAAAAGGAATTTAATAAAAGCAGTATAATTCCTGGAAAGCGATGTCCAAATCATCTTAAAAAGCGTTTTATTGAAGTGTATCCTAAAAAGTTTACGGATATGGGATCTGATAGAATGTTTGCTTTACGAGGATATTTATCAATAACAATTCGGTATTTTATTTATTAGATTATATTGTATTTTAAGTCAATTTTATTATGTTCGACACCGTGTCAATCTTGTTTATCCTCATCTTCCACTTGTATGCGTTTCGGGTGGTGGAAAGCATGAATACTATTACCCAATCGAGTGCTTGGACTTTGTTGAAATCGATAAACAAACTGGAAATTAATTTTAATGTTTATACTTGGAATAAATGTTTTTAGAAAATTATTTTAAATAAAATGTTTTAAACATTTATCTCTATCGATTATTAATACATGTTTTCAGCTTTCAGAATCGATATGATCAGTGACGTGAATCTTGGTAAAAATTTAAATCTAAAATTTTAAATAAATAATTTAAGAAACAACATCACTTATGCTTGAACGCCTTAACTTGAAGCATGAACAAAATTCATTGCCTCCTGAAGAAATTATTGGGGCACAAAAACAAAATATATTTATTTTCAATTCCCCCAGATGTGGATTCGACAACAGATTTAAAACAACATTTACATTGCTTGGACGGTCATTCAATTCAATTGAACAGTATTTCATCTGGCAAAAGGCTAGATTTTTTGGTGATTTGGAACTTGCTGCTGAGGTGCTTATGCTCACTAATCCATTGGCTATAAGACGAATTGGAACCCGTGTGAAAAATTACAATAGAAATGAATGGGATTCAGTCAAAGTTAAGGCGAAGATTAATTTCATACAAGGCATTAAATAAAAATTTTAGGTAATGTACACGGGCTTATGGGCCAAATTTACTCAGAATGTACAACTCTTCAATCAGCTACGTGCAACTGGAGACGGACTCATTACACACGCCTCTACATCAAATCTACATTGGAGTAATGGATTGAGCCATAAAAGCCCGTGTCTGAATGATTTAGGTATTTGGGAGGGCGAGAACAAACTTGGTGAATTATTGATGGAATTACGAACCGTAATTAACAAAAGTATTTTTTAATTTATTTTTTCAAAAACATTGAAATTGAATTGTAAATCTTATTTTGAGTTGAATAAATTTCTTCTTCTGATAGTGCTCCGGTAATAATGCATTTTCCGGTTGTGAAGATAATTATAACTGTGCGAGATTCCTTTAGTCTTAGACACATCCCCGGGAAAAATTCAGGATTATAGGATATGTGCCTAGCCAGCCATGAGGGTGGAGCGAACCGCATCGAATCATACAAGGCTAAAAATTATTTTTTAATCAATAATTAAGATACCTGGTAAATTGATGAATCCTCCAAATGAAAAAGAAGAAACTATATTCTGAATTCTAAAATTTTGCATATTTATGAATAACTCGGCTGCTACGGAAATTATTTTAACAAAATGGTGAATAGCGGTTTCCGAGTCACTTGCTGATTTTGTTCCGACGCAAACTATTCTTCCATTAGCAAAAAGTAGTGCTGTAGCAGTTAATGGTTCTTTTATCTTAAATGTTAGAGCAGAAAAGCGCTCAGGACGATATTTAGCATTAGGAATATTAGCTGCAAGTTTATTAAGATCTAGTTTGTTGTTACTTTCTATCAGACTAGCTGTAGATACCACGTTTTGAATAATTGCTTTTTGATACATATTTAAGGACCTATATAAATAATTTCAAGAATTTATAGTTAAATAAAAAATGTTTACAGCTCCTTTTACTATGATAATTTCGGGTGCCACAGGGAGTGGCAAAACTCAATGGCTATTAAGGGCTGCTTTATATAGGGTCCTCCTCCCGTTGGGTTAATTGTGCTTTTGCACTACTGAAGTGCCACTCAAGCCCCTCGAGTGCCTTATTAGGCACGAATATAATGTGCGTGCCGTCACATAGATCTCGTCTATCCCCAACTAACTCTGGTATGCGTTTTTGCCGGAAGAACCACCAATATTTCTACCCTCTTGAATGCTTAGATTATGTAGACGTTGAAGAACAAAAATTAATTTTATATAAATTTTTATTTAAATAAGATTTAAAATATTTTTTCTTAAAAATTAATTATTTAAAAATTTATTTTCTTTTATTATTTTTGTCTAAAATATTTATTCTGCAACATTTATTATTTTAAAAATTTTTATTTAAAAATTATTTATTCATTCAAAATTTTTGTTAGTTTTTCTTCAGTTTGTACAAATTTTTTAATTATTTTTCATTAAAATATTTTTTCTTCAGAAATTAATTATTTTATTTTTTTTAATTTATTTTTTTTTTCAAAAATTTTTTAATTCTTCCAAAAATTACTTGATTGTATTACCTTTGTTGCTTTTATTCCAAAATTTATTTTATTTATTCTATTTATATTAAAATTTTAACTATATGATGAATACGTCCGTGCTGCTTTGTAAATGTGCCCACCCGTCCGATCTGGCAAGTTAGGCAACGTTGGTTTTAAAAACCCCCTAATCCTTTTGATTTTGTCACTAATTATTTTAGTTTTTATATGGGAAGCGTTTTGAACAAATGGGTGACGCTTTTATATCAAAAATTGGAAAATTTTTGATATAAAAGTGGTACATATACTACTTAGGGAGAAATGAGAAAAAACGGCGACGCCAAACACGCGGCGTAGGGTCAACTCGGCGCTGCCGCTACGATGGTTACCTAACCATCGTCTTATTTTACGGACCCAGAGGTGCGTCGGAATTCCGATTTCGGAAAAAATTTTCTTTTCCGATTTCCGACTTTTGAGCCAGTTCCGATTTACTTCTCTTTCGATTTCTGACACTGACTGTTCCGACCCACCTCTGCCGTAATTGTTAATTCAGAACTGGCCCAGGATTTAAATTAACCGAGGTATAGAACATTTTGTCGGAAGTTAGGAGTATTTGCCGCAGCCACTGGTGAAAAAATTCGGAAAAGTTTGTCAATCCAGGCATTAACTTTCTTATTGAAATTACTTAAGTTACATAAAGTTTACATAAAACACCTGATCAGTCAAGGTCAATTTTTTAAAAACAGGAATAGATTTAGCTATACCAACAATCAGAAGTCGGTCAACTAACAAATATTTATGATAACGATTGTTAAGCATCCCCTCAGTTTGCAATGAAGTTTCCCAACTTTTTACTTCATCAAGAGGTATTGGACTCGGATTCCGCTTTAAAACAAAATTTTTATTAAAAATTAAATTAAAATTTACCGAGAAATTACCAACTAAACGGAAAATATTAAAATCGGATAAAAGTATTTCTTCAAACAGTATCGGGCCTTTGAGGAATATATCATCCAAATCATTAAATGCATGCATAATACGTTTTTTAGCTTCGATGATTGGTAAAATTAAGTTGATTTGTTGTCGATCATTATGTCGAAAATTGGAGGATTTTGAAGCTAAAAATAATGTTCAGAAATTGCTACCACATTAAATATCACCATTCCAAAATACTGATACCGATTTTAGATTGGAATCCCGATATCGCCCAACTCTAAATTAATCTTACTGTAATTCTGTTTTTCTGTTTTTCCATTGCTTCTAGGTTTATATCATGACGTAAATACATAACATCTAAAATGCAAATTTTTTAAAATTATTTTTTAACAAACTCAATCTTTTCATTCCAACAAGAAGACATTTATCAAGTCTACATTTTTTACATTTTTCCAAATTTGTTTGGGATTTTCCGTCTATATTCTCTTTTGACAATGGTTTTTGCCAACATATACATTTAAATTTGCATACTTCTCCGTTGTTAAGATAACGTCTTTTGAAAAAAATTTCGAAGTAAATTTTATGAAGGAATACCTGAAAAAAGCCCCACAAGCCCTACATGTACAAACTCCAAAATGAAAACAAACATTTTCTTTTGACCCACAAACTTTGCATTGTTTAATGAAGTTTTTTTGCATTTTATAATTAAAAATAAATTTAAAAATAAATTTAAATTTTTCTAGAAAAATTAAATTGATTATAATGTGTCAATTAATTTGAATACAACCAGATGTATTTTCAGACAAAATATTAAAAAAATATAAATATAGTTTAATCAAAAAATATCATCTAGTAAAAAGTTTCTACACAGAAAAATAAATTTTATTATCATAAAAGTGATAATAAATTAGTGTATATAAAATTTTAAAATAATTTTTTTATATTTTGTTAATTATAGAAATTTTTTTGGGAAAATAGTTTGTATATTAAATTTAAATTTTATGAATGATTTTGGTATAGCTTTTAGTATTTAAAAAAAAATTATCAGCTAAATAAACAAAAATTAAAGAGATACTCGAATGATTGAATTTAATCAATTATTAACGTCCATAACTTTTTCTCTAATTTTTTGGGAGTGAAAATTATGGGTATAATAAAGAAAATTTTATATAAATTTAAAAAAAGTTAAATTAATTCAAAACAGCTATTTAAACACAAAAAATTTTAATTCAAAGTTTTTAATAGCGTTGTTGGCGACCGGTTATTAACTCGTACCCCCGGTTTTCGGTTTTGAGGTTTAGTCAAATACCGGCTTTATTTTGGGGGAATTTTTAATAAAATCACTCATTTTCACAAAATTTCGGTTTTCTTAAATTTTCTGAAAACGGCTAATTTTTGGCAAACAATTTCAAAAATTCCGGCTATAAAATCGGTCGCCAACAACCCTAGTATTTAATTAAAAAATTTCAATTAAACAGGAAAAGCTCGCTGTTTGGAAGCTCGTACCAAAATTCATACTCGTACTCGTACCTGTTTATGAAACCTTTTCCCCATAATATAAAATGAGGGGAAAATGTGTTGCGCAAAAAAAGGAAAGAATGACGACATGCTTAAGAGTAGGGTAGAAGATTTTTGAAAATAATTTAAAAAATAAATATACCCATTCGGTGCTACCAGTAAAGCAGCTGGGCTATAGCTATTTCTCTTCTTTAGCTATTGCAAATGGTTATCCACCTCTAAAATACTCTCTTTTACTATCTATATATTTAAATTATTGGCTTTTTTCTTTTTTTTTTATTAGTTATTTATTTACAAGACAATCACAGGTACATATTTGTAGACTATTCAAATAGAATTGCATCATACACACTATATGATAAAACTAGAATACATAGTTTTATCATAAAACACAATAAAATTGAATTTATTGATAAAAAATCTTTAAACTAATTAAATAATTTACAATGATATTAAATTTTCTTTATCATTAAATTTATTAAATTTGATCAATTTTTTTAAAATTGAACCTCAATACGCGGGTTGGTTTTAAATTCGTTATCTAATTCGCCTTCGGGCACATAGCGAACATTCCACGGAAAGTAGCGCGTTATATTTTCCTGAATTTTTAAGAAATTTTACTATAAAAATTAATATTTTTACTTTTATTTGATTCCAAAATCTACACGCGAGTCTATTGGCGCAGTTTTTTTCGTGGAAATCTTGGCCTTGTTTACCACCATCTGCCTTTTATTGCAACCCTTTAATTAAAGCAAATCTATTTTAAAAAATTGACAAATCATCCGATCATTAATTAAATCATCATGTGCTATTTATTAATTATATACAACTAAGATTTTATGTATTTTTAATTCGAAAAATTATAGTAAATGTATGTAGTATCTGTGCATCTGTTGCAAAAATATTTTGAAATAAAAATTTATTTTAAATTAAAAACTTTACACAAAAAACTAACCTTTTTTAAATTAATGCCAATATTAAATGCAGATTATACATAGTATTTATTTAATATTATTAAAAAACGAAGTTTAAATGAGTTAACAGCTATTTTCAATAATAAAATAATTTAATTTATAATCTTCTTAAATATAATATTTTTTTATATTATCTATTTTTATTCATTAGCTATTTTTTTCATTTGCATGCATTTTTTTACCTATTTTTTTTATTGCAATTTTATTTTTTCAAAAACTATCTATCTAAATTTTTTACATTTTTGGAAAATTTTTCATTATATTTCTCATATTTTACTATAAGACAAAAATAAGATTACTATTTAGAACTCTTTTCTAAAGATTAACTAATTGTGTGAGTTGGTTTGTGTTTTTATTAATAATACATAAAAATATTGATAACTAATTGTCCACTCTACCAGGATCCATCGGTCCCAAATTAAATAGTCCCTGTACTTCTGATTGAGTTTTGGATAAATTCGAGGTGTTTATGTGATTGCTGGCCAAATATATCATACAACTTCCCGATATTTTATCTATTATATATTTTAAAATTTTATATTTTTTATGATATGTTTTATAAATTTTAAACCACCTGGGTTATTTTTACATAAATAGATATTAATTAGATTTGAAAAATTTATCTCAAATATACTTGTAAATATTTGAATTAAAAATAATAGCATAAAAATTTTTATTAAAATATGGTTTAATTTTGCAAAATAAAAAACGATAAAAATTGCTAAATAAATAATAAAAAATGAATTCGTTACACAAACTATTTTTTTAATTTAAAGAAAAGTGCTGAATCTGTAAGTTCCATTGGTAAATTAATTTTATCATTTTCACTTCTTTATTATATTAATATAATTAACCCCTTTCGAGGATGGCTGATCATAAAAATTATTATTTTTCTCTTTTTTTCTTGAAATAATTAGATGTTATGAATTATAAAGGCAAATGGAAATTTTAATGATTTGCGCAAATCTTCGATTACTCAAATATATAGGTTTCGATTAGAGTACCGAATACTGTCAGTAGCATATAATTTACTTTTTACAATTAAATTACAAAACGAATCTATTTTAATTTCATTATATTTTAGTCATTTTGTTTTATTCACTTTTCTGTTTTCTTTGATTCTTTGTTTAATATTATTTGCAAAATAAATTAAGTTAATTTTAAGTATAATATTTAGGGTTGCCAAAATGGACCGACTCGGACCGAAAGATCGAGTCATGCCTCGATGTTTGGCCCGAAAAAGTCTCGTACCGGCCCGACTCGATAAAGTTGGGCCCGAAAAAGACTCGTAACGGCCCGACTCGATAAAGTTAGGCCCGAAAGTGACTCGTACCGGCCCGACTCGATAAAAACAGGCCCGAAAAAAATTGTCTCGGAAAAAGTCGGCCCGACTCGAACAAGACTCGATAATATTTTTACCAGATTTGTGGACAAAAATGGGAGAAATCTGGCTCCTTGGCCTTCCAAAATTCGAAAAATTTTCGCCTGCGGCGCTGAAAAAGGAAGAAGTTTGGTCCTTAGCCTTCCGAATATCTCAAAATTTTTGCCTGCGGCGCTGAAATGAAGAATTTTTAGCTCCATACTTTGCTTCATATCTCGAACTTACTGGCTTTAATCGATAAGCTGGATTACTGGGATTTATAGGATATATTCCGCGGGATCCCATCATCATTTAACTTTTGAAACTAAATCAGTTTTGAGAGTCCACAATTTTCCGCAGTCCGCAATTTTAACTTTAAAATACGCAGTCGTAATCTTCAGTCCACAAGTCAAAAACTCACAATCTTACGCAATCCGCAGTCCACCATCCGGGATATAAGGTGTAATCTGGGAATATAAGGCGGTTTGAGAGATTAAGTCAAGGGCGTATCCAGGGGGTCAAAATTCTCAAAATTTTCGCCTGCGGCGCTAAAAATAGAAGAAATCTGGTTTCCTGACTTTCCAGTAAGCCCTTATCTAAATACGAATAGTTCAATCATGGTACACTGGGATTTTATTAAGGGATTTGGTGATTAACGCACAATATCACTTAAATCTTGCGTTATCCTTCAAACGCAAGATTTAAGTGTCTCTTCAATCCTTTTAAATCCCATTACAATATAGCACCTTAATTATCTGATATGCGATCCTGATCCCCTTAATCATCTGATCTCCTTTAATAAAACCAAATCTAGCAATATCTCACAACAATCCTCCGATAATTTAAATCACCTTAATCCCTCAAATCCACTGATATCCATTTCAATTCTCTTCAGCCCTTCCTTTACCCTCCAGATCCATCGATATACCTTTTAATTCACAGATATCCCTCCAAATCCACTAATTATTTTTAAATAAATCTTTTAAAAAAAGACTCGAAAATGTCTCGATGCCCGACTCGATAAAGTCAGGCCCGAAAGTGACTCGTTCCGGCCCGACTCGATAAAGTTAGGCCCGAAAAAGACTCGTATCGGCCCGACTCGATAAAGTAAGGCCCGAAAAAGACTCGTACCGGCCCGACTCGATAAAAACAAGCCCGAAAAAAAATGCCTCGACCGTCGGCCCGACTCGAAAACGGCAACCCTAATAATATTATCAGTTGCTGACTAAATTATAGACTAAACAGAA